GAAGGACCTGCTCAGTGACCGGCCTCCTCCCACTTCCCGGGTGCCCTCGTGTGGCTGAGTCAGGAGAGGCGCGGGGGCCCTGAACTGAGGACCCTCCAGCCACACCGGGACGTACCCAGTGAGCCCGGGCCACAACCGCCTTGCCCCCACCCCACCGCACCCCAGCAGCCCTGCCCGGGGGGGAGCTGCTGGGATTCCCCAGACAAGGGGCTCCAGGAGCCTGGGATACCTGCAGGAGGCACACCAGGATCCTCTCCAGGTAGCCACTGGTGTCTGCTTGGATGTCTTCCTCCAGGCTGGACCCATAGTCTGCAGGGCAAACAGAACCATGAGGCTCAGACCAGCTCTCCTCCTCCCCGCCCTCTTTCCCACACGTCTCCCCACTAAAGCCTCCAGGAAGGACAAGTCCTTGCCGTGGGGAGGGTTTGCCTGCCCAGGCGTCTGAGAGGCTGAGGTTGCATCCCGTGGTGGTTGTTCAGAGGGAGGAAGCAACGGGGATTGGCAGCCAAGCCCAAAGCACAAAGATGGGCCAGGCCAGAGAGCCGGGGGCTGCCCGTCGAGCTCCATTTCATTACAAAGCCAGACCCTTCGGGCAGGCTCCCCACCAGGCAGGCCTCCTGGAGGATGGGCTTTGCCTTGCGTCCCAGAGACTCCACGGAAGCTGGTCTGTGCTCTGCACTCCCCACTGCAATGGGCCCCTGCATGGTCCCCTCGGCTGCCTGTGCCTGGCCGGGAGGGAGCCAGCCCCATCCACTGCTGACACAGCTTGTGCCCCTCAGCACTGCCACGTTCTCAAGGGGCAGAGAGTTAGGGGGTGCCTGCCTTCCCCCCAGCAGCCCGTGGGCTTAGGGAGATGAGAGACAGCGCCTGAATCATATCCAGTCTCATTGTCAGGCACGGGACTTGACACACAGTAGGCACTCAACATCCATGTCTGGAAAAGCCCAGAAAGGGTCCTTTCCAATGGGGCCAGTCCACTGCTTGTCCCTGGTCCCTGCTAGGCTGCCAAAGCTCGTGGCCATTCCCAAGCTAGCCTTTACCTCGGGGTCCCGCGCCCTCCCTCTCGGCAGGCCCCTTACCTTCCTCATACGCCTTCATTATCTCCCGCAGCTGGTTCTTGGTCCGAGAGGCCAGGATTTCGATGATGACGCCCTCTTTGGTTCCTAAGCCCTGTGGGTAAAAACCTCTGCTGCAGAGTACTGCCTGTGCCCTCCTGCTCTGCCCACGGCAAGAGGCAAAAGGAAGGACCAGTCACTGCTCTGCCCGACTCGGATGGGGGCCTCTGCTGGAGGATGTTACCAGTGAAGTCACGTGCGTCTGTCTCCAGTGGTGGACACCGTGGCCAAGGGGTGTGATGGGAAAGCTAGGTCTCAGCTTGAGCCTCCGTAGCTGGGTGGTCTCGAACAGGTCCCTCCACCACTGTGAGCCTAAGGGTCCTCAGCAGGACACGGGGGTAACAAGCCCCCACCCCCCCTGCAGGTGGAGCAGGGATAATAGACGTAAAATGCCCGGCGGCCCACACAGTGAGTGTCCTTTCAATGGAGATGATTATTGTCACTGGGTTCTGACTCCCTCTTAACCATCTGCGAATGCGAAAGGAACCGTGGGAAGTAACTAGAAGCCAGGGGACCAGGCCCAAGACTGCAGAGGCTGGCTCCTAGTTCCTGTACACCTTGGTCTTGCAGTGACCTGGGAAGGAACGATTTTGGCCTCACCATGGCCGCACGACAGTGGAGGCCAGTCTGTTTGGCAGCAGTCTGAGCTGCAGGCTACAAGCTCGCTGGGCTCATTCCAAACAGGGTGCTCGGAGATCCCAGAGCCAGGCTTTCTTGGAAAAGGGGTCCCAGCGTCGCTCCCCAACCGAGTCCTTGTGAGTGTCTCCCGCCCCTCCTCCCCACCACGTGCTTGGTTACCTTCATGGCGTCGTACAGCTCCTTGGCTTCGTATCTGTATGGAGGGTACATGAGGGCTATGATGAGCCTCTCGAACTTGCCGCTGAGCTCCGACTTCAGGGTCTCGGTGAGGTCCTAGGGCAGGAGCAAGGAGGAATGATGCTCTGACACTGCGCCCGCAGGAGTGCAGGCAGCAGGTGGCGACGGAGGCCCGGGGGCTCTGGCTGGATCCCCACGTGCGCTCTGCCGTGCGGGGGCGGCTGGGGTTTCTGGGACCAGCAACTCAGCCTCTCTAAGCATCGTTACCCCATCCCGTGAAGTGGAGACCGCAGTGCTCCCGCTGTACACCATCGCTTAGGGGATTGGCGGAGAGATGTGTGTGGCTCAGCTCTGCTTCCAGGGCGGTGCTGGGCACGCCATAAGCCCAAGATACAAGCTTGTCATTGCCCGCCATCAAATCCCTGTCACTGAGCCCATAGGCACTCAATGAATGTGAGGAATGAATTAAGGAACCTATCTCACGTGTGTCTGCTTCCAAGAGAAGGAGAAGCCACAAGACCCAGCTGATCCCCCTGCACAGCACAGTGAAGGACCAGGGGACCTGTCAGACCTGGATTTAAATCCCAGCCTTGTTGCTGACAGGCCCTGGGATCTTAGGCAACATCCTCCACCTCTCAGAACATCAGTTTCCTCCAGTATCGAATGCAGAGAATAATGCATAGTTGTGAAGATTAAGAGAGAGAAATTTTTTTTTTTTAGAAAAGCACATTGATTTCCTCCACAGAGTGTTTGGGCTTCATCACTCATCTTCCTGGATTAAATCTCCACATAATCAATGTGCACTGATGGAGGCTTCTGGCCACCACACTCTGCGCACATTTATTCCCGTGTTTACCCAGCACGCCGATGCCTGGCTCTGTCCTGTGGGTGGTGGGAGGAGGGGCAAAGGGTCCAGGCTGTGTGCTCCCAGCCCTTGGAGTTCCCGCAGGGCACGAAGGAGGAGGCGCCGGTGTGGCAGCTCCAACAGCAGGGAGACAGCCCCGTGGCACAGCACAGAGTGGCACAGCCTGCGTCTCTGGCATGTGGGAGAGAGGAGGGCATTCCAGGCTCAGGGAACAGGACCAGCAAAGTACAGAGGGAGGGAGACAGCTCAGGGATGGGGCCATGGAGCAAATACAGCAGAGCAAGTGAAAGAGAAGGTGGGAAAGGAAGGCTGGGCCAGATGACAGAAAGTGGGACCAAGCTGGGGCCGTGGAGGGCCATCAGAAAGTCTTCCAGATAAAACACAGGATGGTGAGTGAAATATGATTTTCACAGAAAAAGTACATCATTTTTTTAGTGTGAATGTGTCCCATTTACCCTATGTTGCCAGCGGGCTGGGCTCTGGACAAGGGCCTGGTCCAGAGTGGGGCTGCGTCCCCGGCTGTTTTTGGCAGCAGCAGTCCCCACGGCCCCCCCCCAAGCACACAGGCCCCCATTTACCTTGCCAAACTGAGCCTTGAAGGACTTGGCGATCTCCTGCCGCTGCGCGTTGCTTCTCTTCGTGAGCACGTCGATGATGGCCTGCTCGTTGGTGCCTGCAGGGTGCACAGCGTGAGCACCCCCACTGCCCCCGGGGGGGCGAATGAGGGCTGGGGAGGAGGGAGGGCAGCTGCTTGATGGCCAAGCAGTGGGGACACACCATCTGAAGATCTCCAAAACCTGATGATTTTCATGGTGTAGACAAGACAGTCAGGAAATAATTCTGTCCACCCTGCCACCCGCACAATGTTGGGGCGCGGCCTAGACCCATGCTCACAGCGATGAACACTGAGGACCCTCTGGTCATCTGATAGCCCCTGAACATCACCCAGGGCCTTTGGAGCTCAGGCGGGACCTCCTGCCCTGACCTGCCTTGTGCTGGTGGCCCTGGGGGAAGATCAGGTCGGAGGGGCCAGAAAACTGGCTCTGAGCCCTGGCCCAGGAGCTGGGTGGGCTAGAAGCCTCATCTCCCCAAGTCTCCGTTTTTCCCTTTGGAAAATGGAGATGATGGTAAAGATTTCACAGGATATCGAGGGCTGAACATGCTTTCTAAGCTCATCTGGGAATGGCAGTTTTTGTTAATGCCCCAATTCACCAGTCGGAGCCAGTTAGAGGGTAAATCCTGCCTGGGGTTGTAAATCTGACAGGAGGGCTGTCTGGGCCGGGCTACCCAAATCCCCTAATCCCCAAGGCTCCTGGCCAGCCCTTTCAGGCTCACAGGAATGCAGATGCTGGAGACAGGATGGAGCCGGCCCTGTGGCCCGCCTAAGTGGGGCGGGGGGTGGGGATGTGGAGGGAAGCTGCAGCCCCTGTGTGGCTGGAGCCCCCTGGGCCCAGGTCAGCCCCACAAAACTCCCAACATCATCCCAACCAGAATTCACCGTGACACACAGGGTCCAGAGTTTCTGGGGCCATTTTACAAGGGAGAAAGCTGTGACTGAGTGTGGTGAAGTCCTTTGCACAAGGACACCCAGGGACACACAGCAAATGTCCCCCTTCCCCCACCCCCGTTACTCACAACCGCCTTCCCCCTTCCTTGGTCTTGGGGGTGTATATAGACCCGTGCTGGGGAAGGTGGGGCCTGTGTGATTCTCTGGGTGGCAGGAGTCAGCCACAGAGGGTTATGGGGAGGCCCCCCCCCCTGACCAGGCTGCCCCTGGTATCCCCTCTCCAGGGCCCCGGTGGAAAGGCAACTCACCGATCCCCTTCATGGCTTTGTAGAGGGTCTCTGCGTCGGGGTTTGGGTTGAAGTGGGGGCTGCCCTTCACCGAGACACCCTCCTGTTCAATCTGCAAGAGAACCCAGGCCCGCTCAAAGCCGGAAGGCAGGGCAGTTTGCAGCCTATCCCAGCAGGGTGAGCACCAGTTTGGCGCCTGCTGACCAGGGGCTGGGAACCTCCATCCATCCAGGCCCTGCCCATCCTCCCTGGAGGAGGGGCACCTGGGAGGCCGCAGCTTCTGGATATGCTAGTTTCCAGCAGCTGTGTCTTGAGGAAGGGGCATCTTTGTCCACGTTGCACCAAGCGGCCACGTGGCCCTTCCACATCGGGCCTGCAGAGGCCCCCAGTGCCTATTAGCCCCTCGGCCAAGGGGAGGCCTGTCCTGCCAGCCCGGCCCTCAGGCTGGAAGGAGGTGTCTCCTGAGGAGCTGTAAGCACCACCTGGCCACGCTAAGCGATGGAACCCCAGCTCTCAGCGCCAGCGCCAGCCCTGGAGAGCTGGGGCTTGCAGGCTCAGACAGCACGAGGGAAGACCTCAAAGGTGGCTGGTACCGGGGCCGCTTACAGAGCCACGACGCTGACTGTGGGGCATCAGGAAGAGGGTGTAAGACTGGACTCCAGCCTTCAGTGTCGGAAGCCTCGTCTCCCTCCTGTGTCTCCCACGGCCAGCTGCCCCGTGGGGACCGCACACCCGGCAGTCCTGTGCCACGTCTCCTCTGTGGCGCTGGCTCCTTAGATCCTCAGCTGGACATTTGTTTTCTCCTTACTTGCATTTCCTGGATTTTTGTGATGAACATTGTCTTGAAAGAAAAAATTAAAAACAACCCCCAAATGTGGGGGGCT